CGGCACAGGATGTCCTGACCGCCAGCGCCCTTCAGCACCTGGAAGAACTGCAGCACCTTCTTGCTGTAGTTCTTGGTGCCGCCCTGCACTGCCGCCCCCCCTCCTGCACCCCGCCGCCGCCGGCCTGAGGGCGCCTGCTGGTCGCCCTGCTTGATCCGGATGATGCCCTCTACATCTGACTTAGTGAGAAACACATTCTTGGCGCCGTTTTGGCGCCGTTCTAAGGCATAAAGGATGACAGGTTGGTTCATAATTTTAAATTTGCGGCAGCTGCGGGGTGCGGGAGGGGAGAAATAGAAGCCTTAGAGACTCTGAAAGGCGAAGGAAAGGGAGGGATCGCGGGAGAGAGCGTGCCTGATGAGCCAGACGAATCGGGGGAGGTGCCACATCAGCGGGCAACAAATGCCAGCAGCATGGAGCAGAAGTGGAGGAGGCACCCCCACTGGCTCGTCGGCGCTGCCCAGCAGGTCCCCCCGCGCTGAGCCCGCCACCACCTGGCCCGGGGCAGGGCAGGCCCGCCAGGGCAGCGGGCAGCCACCCACCACAAAGGCGATCTCAAAGTCGAACAGGCGCTTCACCAGGGCGTTCTCCGCCACCAGCACCTTCCAGATGGCCCTCAGCTGATTCGGGGCGCCCCAGAACCACATCTGCCGGCAGGCGCGCATGGGCCCAGGATTAGCCACAGCATGGCATGCATGGGCGGCGGCCCCAGACACCCTGGCTGCACTGCCACCCGCGGCCTCACCTGGCTGGACCGCCACAGCTCCTGCAGCCCGCCCTCGGTGCCGCGGTGCAGGTGGTACATCATCAGCCTGGAGCAAGATGGTGGCAACGAGACAATGATCGCGGAATTTGTCCGTCATTTGGTTGTTTCAATGACTGGGCTGGTTTCTTTCAAATGCCGGAAGCGCAGCCCAACCTGCCTGTTGCAGGTGTACCAGGCTCCGAATATCGCGGTGAACTCCCACAGGTTGTCGCACACCTGAAGAGGAGGGGGGGGGGGGGGGGGGGGGGGGCTTT